CCATACTGGGGTTGTGACATAACGACTGAACATGTTTAGTACACAGAGTTAACAGAGAGAAAGAAAGGGTTCTTTCACAGGACCAGCAGCAGTGGAAAACAGGCTAAAAAGGAGCCAGTTTAACTTTTTTTCCCTTTACACTGACGCCATTGTCAGGGGTGTCAGCACTCAAGGGCAAATTGCTTTCCACTGACATAATCACTCGAGAACATTTGGGATCTGAAATGAAGTTTGCAGAACTCAGCGCGGCACTTCCACGGTTTTGTCTAGGTCGACATGCCTCTTGTACCCCTCTGATCTCTTGAGAATGTCTGGAATGAAGTACCACCCTGTTAATGTCACAGACACAGTGTGCTTGGTGTTTTAAGTCAGGACCAGACAGTTATAAGTGCAGAGCTCAGTGCACTTCACAAGCACCCGGCGACGCAAACCCAAAGACACAGCTGTGTAATGAACTGTGAGAAAATGAGCAAGAAATAGCAATTGTTAAAAGATACTAAAATTTAAATGTAATTTGGTTGGCCAATAATCATACAATTTGGGATAAAAACAAAGACATGAATAATATGAATAAACAACCCTTTATTTAGTGATTCCTGCCTGCTGTGTGACGCAATAATCAAAATGACAAAGTATCTTATTACAGCATCCTATGGGTTTAAAAAACAGACTTTCAGGGGATTAAAAACGATCCGTTTCAGTTTTTAGAGCTAGCCGTTGTTAAAGAGTCCAGTTGTAGTTGTTGCCTGCTCGTCAGAAGGCATTTCCTTCAGCTGAGTTTAGCTTTTAAAGAGCCTTCTGTCTGCCCAATCACATGGTACTGTGGCTGAGTTGTGTGGCCATCTCCCTTTGTTTGATTTCTGGCTTTAAAATTTGTTTTGCATGTGTTTTTGGCAGTGCTTAAGTCAACCCAAATCAAAGTGCCTCTTTCCTTTTTGGCACAACACCTTGGCTTTCTTTATAGAGAACCCATGTCTCCCCTAAGCCCAGTTATTTTCTTGCCTTTGTTTGGGGGGTTTTTTTGGTCAGTGTTTTAGTTAATCCTTTTTCTTAGGGAGCAGCAGAGGATTTGGCCAAAGCACAGCTAATTAAAAACACCTACATTTGCCAGATAAAAGGCATTCTGATATTCAGACATCAACTGCTGGAAACACTGAGTTCAAGGAGCCAGTGTCAGTAGAAAAGGTTTCTCCTTGAGAGAGGAGGCAGAGTAGCCAGTGATCTTACAAATGTAAAGTTTATCAGTTCAACAGACCAGACAAAGCTGAATTTCTCAAGGCTGTGCAGTCACAAGCTCGCAAATACAGCCACCTAATCAGAAGCTAAGACGTGGCCCAATTTGATTACAAAAGTTTAACAATCTAAATGAAAGAACTGTGAAATCTCATCTTAGTTTGATTTTAGTTGTAACAAATGTGATACCCTTTGAAATGTTAGTCCAGAAATACATGATATATTAGTTCATTTTATTATGGTAATATAGTGGACATGATGCATTTCAGCTTCAGTTTAGAACAGTGATTTCCCCCCTTGGGGTTGCAAGATGATAAACAAGCTTATTGTTTCAGACTTTCCTCTGTTTTTTTCTTTTGATTTATAATATTTTGACGGCAAGGAAAATCATTTTTGTTGACCTAGTCACAGCTAGAAGACGTATGCAACCAGTAATGAGGAATTGCTTCATTTAAAGGGGTCATTAACCCAAAATGGGAACATGTACATAAATGATCGGAGCTTCTCCACAAAGCTCTAAAGGAAGAGACCTAGAAAATACTAATGTTGTCCCTTGAATATTGGTCTAATTTTCATTAAGAGAATTAATCCACAAAAATCTGGTAATTATTTAACCAGCTTTGGTCCCATTATGTACAAAAACAAAATGACCAAATATTGGCATTAGTGGTGTTAAATGAGACATTAGAGTTTACTTTGAGTCTTTTCATTTTATGTTCCAGGTTCCTTTCCCTCCGTCAGTTTCAGCTGTCAATTGTATGAATTTTTTACCTGAGGAGAGATGAATTCACTGCTTTCCAATATGAGGGAGCCAGTGGCTAAAGCCATTTGAAGGATTCCAGCAATGAACTCTGATAGATGCAGTCAGCCAGGTAGAAAGACACCATACAGTTACATTTTCATATCTCATGGTCTGCACCCGTTCCAAGGATAACTGGTGGCTGACTGTGCCAAACACTGCAGACAGGTCAAGAAGGATGAGGACTGTGAAAAGGGAAGCAGCATGAGGAGTGTAAAGTCCTTTTGCAATCGAGAGAGTAAAGAGTGCTTGCCTGACTTGTGACTGATTGGGGTCAAGGAGGTTGTGTTGTGACGGGTGCAGAGAAAGCTGGTTAGAGAAGGCATGTTGAGAAAAGGATTAAAAGTAGTGATTTTTAGACTGTAGGTCACGATAAGAGACGGGTCAAGAGTTTGTGTCTTGGCCCGATGGCAAGCAGCCGCATGGAAGAAAAGGCAGAAGGTCAATGCAGTGGTCTAAAAGAGGGAAAGCAGACCTTGTTCACAGCAGCCATTTTTACATAAAATAGGGTAAACACAGGTGTTACCAATGATACTAATTAAGGTTCTGTTCCATTCAGGTAAACGTCAGGTCACCATTAAAGCAAACAAAAAATAAGACATTTCTTATCTATCAAAGACTTTAATAAATTGAACGCTAGCACAATCCACCGTGTAAACAGGAAGTGACTGTAGCATCATGAGCTGTAGCATAACTTCCAAAAATTACAGTTCCAGAGGGGGAAAACAATATATTAAACTAACTACTGGGACTTTTGTTTTATTTATTTGTACAGAAATGCTTAGTAACATTCAAGTTTGGCCGTGAGAAACCTCTAATTATGCCAACCTAACCTAGCTGACGTTATTCAGTCATTTAGCAGTGTTTGTTTTTACCATTTCTTTGTTATTTGAGGCATGTGGATTTTTGTTTTGTGCAATGTAATTTCAAATCTTTCCAGGTTGGATCAGTAAAAAGTGTCTGGTCATTGTCAGGCCTGTATGTGTCTTAATCTTCGTTCTAAATAGCTCTGTTGAATTAGCTACTCAACAGTCAACAGTTCTGCAGACAGGTGTTTTCACTTGTTCTGGTTGATTAGACCTCTGCTCACGTTGATGCTTTAGAGTGGTGCAAGGACAGTCCTGAGAAGAGGTCTAATGAGGCAAACTAAAAACACCTTTCAATTGGGACATTAATGATTTGACTTCAACCCTGAAATTATGTCCTGGCTTGAACCTTTCAACCCAAATTTTCTTAAATGCTGTATTTACATAATAAAAGTGCACATCCCTATGCTTTTACTTTGTGTGATAAATAGCACACATTTTTGATTTGCTTTTAAATCAAGACCTTCCCACCATAAGCAGAAGCCTAGGGTGTTTGAAGATTGGCTTTAAATCCTGAAAGAGGCTGTCAAACTCGTCACGACTGCCTGCTGACTGAACACATCAATCACACAAGGCTTGATTGTCACAACAGCTGAACCATATGTTGAGGATTAATGGCAGAGTTTTGTTGAAATGATACACAGACCGACAACACTGGAGTGAAAGAGTGTGATTAAAATTAAAGCTTGCTCGAAGGAGAACCGTATCGTGGGTTTTATCAAATTTATGACTCATGTAAAGACATTTGTGTATGCATGAATATGCAAACTCTGTCAAAGATGAAACACAACAAAAATTCTACTTTTTCACATTGAACCGTTTTGCATCGTATCAGCACTGAAATTACAGTATATTGAAAAGCTGAAGGTCATCTGCGATTCTGCCTGATCAGCACAACAGGAAGCTGTCATGATTAATGCTGTGAGACATGAAGACATAAGTGTCGACTGGAATTCTAATAAGGACAAACACACATACTCACACACCCTGTTTTTCTGCTTCTTACTTGAATTACACATTTCTCTGAGAAGAAAATAAACCAGTCTCTTTTCCAGCTGCTTAAACTCCGTCTAACTTGTGCAGCATTGCTCATAACCACAGAAGTGTCCTTAAATTCTAGTGGAGATCCCAAAGTTCCCAAAGATACCAATTATGTCAGGCTGTATTTAGAGGACGTGTGTGAAATAATGCACAGGACATCCAGAACATTTCCCCTGGCGCAGCCATAAAAACATGTAGTCTTGGGTCAGTTTAAGTATCACTCAGCTGCACTTAAATGTTCAAACATGCTGGATATGTAATATTTCACATTATGTCATACGATTTTGGGCTTTTTTCTTAAACTTGAGGAGATAATCAAGATTAAAGAGGTGAAATCATTGCAGATCCTGCAGAGTCGACACTCTGTGGGTATACTTTAATGTGTTTTTAGAGTAGATGGGACAGATGTTCAAACTCAAAGTCACATTATAGTTTGTTTATTTCACATTTTATCATCTTATTACTGATGCATTAATATGTTCATCACTTTAAAGCTGCAGCTGGTAAATGTGGAGCTCATTTTAAATCACTTTGTTGGGTAGCTCATGCATTTACCCCTGGGGATCAATATATATAAAAATAGCTTTATCCTAACCTACAATAATACATTAGAATTTATTTGATTATCTTTTGTGGTAATAATCTAAAATCTCCAAAGCAGCTAAAGTCACCAACTAGTGGAGTACAAGTGTGAAGTATAAAATGGAAATACTTTCCACCTCACACACACACACACACACACACACACACAATCATATTAGATGGCGCCAACAATACTACAGATGTGTAAACCCCTTCACTGACACACTTGTAGGAATATGAGAGATCTTTCTGGACACATGTGACCATGAAAACACTGTTGTTGTTGTTGTTGTTGTTGTTGTTTTGTTTGTTTTTTTGGTATCTGAACACAAGTTTAACTGCAGATACATCGATGCGTTTCACCTCCCCAGATTAAAAAACCCCTACATCGTGACTGCGAACTGCACCAGAGCTGAGTGGATCATTCTCGGGGTCCATTTGCGTCGCCAGTGCAATCGCTGCAGCTTTAACCGGTCCATCATGCCTTGCGGTGTCCCAGTTCAGTTCCGATGTAATGTACAACAAGCTCTGTGGTCTCCCTCAGTGACGGGCAGAGCAGCAGGCTGACAGACAGAGCGGCAGATGTTGAAAAAAGCCCCACGTTTTGTCGGATGTCCAGCAACCGGACGGACGCTTGTTTACATCCACTCGGGGGGGTTATAGAGGCGGGGATGTGCGCACACCGTTAACTCTGCTGCAGGCGCGGAATAAACAGGATCTCCCCGCAAGTGGCCCGCATCACATGCAGCGGGAAGTACCGGATTTTATTCCAAAGAGAAATACTGAGGCAACAGCACAACGGGAGAGTGTTTTTTTTGTTTTTGTTTTTTTTAAGTGCTCTGACACACAGTGATCTACTGCTGAAAAGAGGTATGTTGTTGGGTTTTATACACAGGGCTGAATGCAGTCAGTGTCTCCATTGGGAGACTGAATGCGCCAGTTTAAAAAGCTGCTGCCATTTAAAAAAAAGAAAAACACAAGGTTGAAGGCTGTTAAAATGATCAGTTATATCAATTCATAGTTAATTCCCTTGTGTTATATTTGTGGAAGGCATGAAAACACACAGGAGAGCTAATACAGGCTGGTCAGCTGTAGTTGCATAACTTTATTTTGCAGATGTATTCATGTTTTTTCCTCCTTATTCTAAAATTGAAACACTCATTTGTGGCTGACAATTCTGTAATGTACTTTTAGTTGATAATCCACACAAGGATACATCCTTAAATGGAGTGATACTGGTGTTCATGACAGATTTCCCACATGGCAACATACCTGATCCATGAGCCAGCAGGAAGTGAGTGAGGGTGTGAGTGAGTGAGTGGTCAGTGTGAGTGAGTAGATCTGCTGAGCCCTGCAATGATGAATCTCTTAATAGAGTTTGGCTATAAACGCTCAGTCAGCAGTGGTTTTAATCAGTTCCTTTTAACTGAGTCACACAGTTACAGGAGAGAGTGGAAAAGTCCTTGAAGCACATGTGTGATGGGAGCAAGGGCAAAAGTCTTTCAAAGGCAGGAATTCACAAAAACAATGCAAAAACAAATAAAAGGTATTTTATTGTAGTTGGTTTTTAAAATCATACAGACATGTCCCTTTCATCTACATCTAACTGATGTTACCTGACCTACATTTGCACAACGTTATTTGGCTTCTGTATCTGACGTCTGACATTCTCTCCTTTATAAAAAACAAACATTAGTTTTCTTTTTAAGAATAGTGTCATCCTTACTAGATGAGGAATCTTAAATCTTAATCTGTTTGGTTTGTCTCTAGTAGATTAGAGCCGCACGATATGGTAAACAATATTACGATTACTTTGACATACATTATATTGCAAATGCAATATGATTCACGATTAAAGGCAATGATTATTTTTGTATCATTTTTTTTTTTTCGCTGAGAAAATTAAAAAATGTAAATCTTCATGATATGATTTGTTGAGTCTGTACCAAACAAACATGTTTACTTACATCTGGAGAACAAGAGTTGTTGGCCAGCATCTCTACAGCTCTACAGTACTTCATTATAATGCTGTTTTGTGACACAAAAAAAGGAACTAAATTGGATATTGCACATATTTTATATTGCATATATAACAAGGTCCTGTTTTCCAGATTAGGGCTGCTAACTAACAGTAACCATTATTTTCATTATCGCTAGTTATAGTGAGGTTATTTACCTCGATTAATTGATTCATCTTTTGGTGTATTAAATGTTAAAGAATACAGAGAAGCACCTGTCACAGTAGCCCTTCTAAATCCAAAGATATTCAGTTTACTGTTAAGAAGTCTTCACAAATGAGTCGCTGGAACTTTTCTAAACATCCTGTTTGGGTCCTGAAGCCAAAAGCTGAACACCCAAGCTCCCTTTACAAAACCCTCACTGGCGCCTTTTTTTTTTCCAAACCAGTAAACAGTAGTCAGTATTTACCTTATCATCTGCACCTAAAGCGGAAAACTCTAATTTAACAGAATTTTCAGTGTAAATTCAGTCCAGTTTATCTTTCAGCAGACCCCAACCTCCTCCCTCCCACCACCTCGTGGTCTGCTAAGCTCCAGGTCTTACAGGGTTAAAGGCTTATTGTCTCCACCAAGCTGATTAGTTAACTTTTGAGACTACAAGAGCGGCAGGTGGGTCACCCAACTACAATATGGTGATCATTCCCAGCAGAACTATAATAAATATAGTGGCTGGGGGAAACTGTGAAGTCCACAGCCATTTAAGTTTTTTTTTGTAATGTGGATTTAAATGCCCGCCAAATGGCACATCCATGTAGAACGCCACTGCCTGTTTGTTCAGGAAGTCTTACATGGTTTCTTACAGAATAGATAGTTGACAGTACCTGAATGGAAAGCAGCTCTGTCTGATTACTCCCTGAAGCTTTTTTTTCACTCAGCTTATTCCAGCTTTTGTTAAACCTGCAGCCACCTCACTCCTCAGCTGACAAAGTTGATGTGGAAGTAATCTCTAAAAGGCTTCTCCACTGAGCAGCACACAACTGCATCCAGCAGAGCACTCGGGTTTAATGTGAAGCGATTGAAGCAAAGGGGAGGTTGGGAGGGTTTGATCCAATTTCACATCTGAATCATTTTTATATCTTTTTTTTATTAGATTTCAGGGTGGGCTAACAATAGTATAGCACTTTCTTATGTAGTCTTGTATTAGTGTACAGTATTAATAGCAGTGAAAGGAAAAATGAGAGATACAGCTGTCTAATATGAGGCTGTGTGCAAGGACCACTGAGCTCTCAAGAGACTCCAAGAAAAGTGAAGAGAAGGACAACAAAGGGTCAGCTTCTAACTTAATTTGTGTTTTTATATTTGAAATACCTGCTGACGTTAACACTTCTCGTGGATGGACTGCCTTGACTTTTTGTACAGACATCTCTGTTCCCCTCAGGATGAAACATTTCATCTTACACCATCATTAGGTGGTATCTCCAATACTGTGTTCAAAAAACAGCTAAATTAATGACATTCCCATTGGCCTCAGCTGTAATTTGTGTTAATTGTGTTTGTGTTAATTAGGAAATGTTGGCATGCTAAACTAAGATTTCGAAAGAAAAAAAAAATATCAGCATGCCTGCATTGACATTGTGAGCAGGTTAGCGCTGGGCCTGTAAGTGCAACCTCAGAGCTCTTAGCATGGCTGTTTATGCAGCCTCTATCATTTGCTAAACAGTAAATGTTTGTCCTTGTGTTTGACTAGCAGTAATGACTGTAGTATGTTTTTTTATATGAGCTGTATAGTCTGAGTCAGAGATGAGTTTCCCTTTGGGAGGCTGACCAAACCCTATAATGACTCCAGTTGAAACTGTGTGGTTAATCTCCTCCAACTCTGAGACGTTCCAGCAACACCCCACTTAATCCTGAATTTCAGAAACACTGCTGCACTACACACCTCCATGTTTTCTCGCAAACCCACATTGGGAGAAAACAAAGAGGAAGTGACAGGAAAGCACGGGTTGCTTCTTAATTGTCAGTGATTGTTTGGTCTACTTTCCCAGACCATACCCTCCAATCAATCCATTCATCTGTGTAAGGTTTGGACAAAGCCAGAGCTGTGTTGCCATGGTGAGGGATTGTTTGCATCCAGTCATGCCACTAGCCATGTGTGCTCTCTCTCTCTCACACACACACACACACACACACACACACACACACACACACACACACACGCACACACACTCTGCAGCATGCTCTTTTGTCTGTGCACCACTTGTTTCAGTGGACCCCCCTCCTGCCGCCTCAACCTCCTTGTTGCTTTAAAAATTGGCCCCAGTTTGCATCATCGTGTGTTGTTGAACCGCTGAACTGCTCGCTGCTGCTTTCAAACATCACGTCGTCTTGATACCAAGTTACTCTAATCACATTTTCCGCTGTTATTTTTGACATAAAAACAATGTACTTAAATTAATTAGTGCAGTTTAAATGCACATGAATATGCTCTTTTAAGACACTGTTATGTTGTAATTAAAGGACCTGTGTGTAGGATTTTGTGGCATCTAGTGGTGAGATTACAAATTGCAGCCAACTGAAACTCCTCAAACAAGCATAAAGTAGAAACTAAGTTTTCTTTCTTTTTTACATAATGTAATATAATAATATATATTACACATGTCTTTGTATTAAATGTGTATTAGTGGTTATCCTAAAAGTGGATTTACAAAAGTACAGAATCAGTGCAAAAACATGATGAACACACAATTATGACATACCGTAAAAGTGTTTCAAATTAGCTGAAATAAGGAAATTTACAAATTCAATAATTATGTAATTAATACATTAAGTACATTATTAATATGTGAAAAATGGCACATGTCAAGTACATTGTTCACATGGGAGTGTATTGTTTGTATTTTTATTTTCTTATATATTCTTACAATGAATGCAATTTTGAAAATACACAATAATGTTTTGCATTTAAATGGATTTCTTTTTGCCGGAAGTCACAATTTTATGCCATTTAAACACAAGATTATTCTGCTGGTTGTTGTTGGCAGGCTGCTGGAGGAAAGAAAACAGGGTCAGGGGTTCAAACCCAATCAATGAGTTTGTTAAAGTTTAATTACTTGATGGACTGAGAGAGCACTGAGCTTTAGAAAGGCAGGAAATTACTTCTTTGGGGGGTATATTGCATTTAAACCCGTCCTTGTAGTTGTTGTGACATTAAATAATATATTTGTACCTTTTAATGCTCAGCTCAGGGATATTAAAGGAGCTTTCAGTGGTATTTCTGTGCAGATCTGTCTTATTTATCATCCATGTTGGAGGAAATGCATCTAAGAAACACTCACTTGCCACATTGTGACCCCTCCCTAACTCTGCCTTCTTGTGGAATCCTGAGAATGAAACTTCAGGGGACGCAGACTGAAGTCACAACTAAGTTTAGCTCAATGGTTCATAACCCAGACGACACAGTATTCCTCATGTCTGAAACCAAATGGCTGCAGCAAAAGTTGTCTGACAGCAAGGATTTATACTGATAGCAGCAACCTTTCCTCTCCACAGCAGAGTCACACACATCAACTATTCCCTCATATCACCACGACCCAACTGAATACTAATCTGTCTCATCCACCGACCCTTATAGCCTTCAAAAAATCAATTCTGTGTCTCTGTAGCTTTCTTTTTCTCACAGTTGGTTGCCCTATTTTATTATTGAGCCATTTGTGCGTATTCTACTTCAATCCTTGCAGGCACACTGCATGAAACTGTAAGTAAATGCAAATCCTGGAAGCTCCAGTTAACTGCGCTATTGTAAATGCGACAGCATTTTAATTTGGACAATTTCCTTGGGGTTATAAACAATGGAAAACATTAAATAATGTAGTTGGCGTACTAGACATAACACAGTGTAGTTTTACATTCTCAGAAATGGACCTACAGTATACAGCAGTTTGTTGTAAGGCAAATAAATAATTAAATGCTATTGTCAGCATGCTAACATGTTGATGTTTAACAGTTATGTTTACGATGTTCACCATCCTAGTTTAGTCTGTTTGCATGCTAACGTTTGATAATTAGCACTAAACCCTGAGACTGGAGTTTGCTGTCATTTAGTCATAAAGCACTCAACCTGGGGTCCGAGGACCCCAAAGAGTCACTTAGGGGGTCCCCCTAGAAAATAGGGAATATTTTAATTTCAGGATTATTTCACTGACACTTGAAGTTAGCTCTGTTCACTCTTCACTGACCAGTGTGTGGTCTTTAGTTGCATCTAGTGTTGTGGGTGCAGATTGCAACTCCCTTGCTTCACCCTCGCCTTCCAATTGCAAAGGAGAAACCATGGTGGCTGCAAAACACACCAAAAAACATGAACGGCCTAACCTGTAGAAACATGGCAGCCTCCCTGTGGCGTCTGTAGATATTAAAGGCTCATAAGGTAACAAAAGGATAACGATTCTTATTTTCAAATGGTTTTACACTATTGAAAACATAGTTATGCATGTTATATTTCATTTCTGCCAATAGATCCTCCTAAATGTTACCTACTGGACCTTTTAATCTGCCAGTCTATGGTATAGACAGTTATGGAAAATCTTATTAGATCTAATCACTGAGACTACATGTTATCAAATACAGGTCCACGGACAGATGTGTATTGATTTTGGGGTCCTTCACACCAAAAAGGCTGAGAAAGACTGGTCTAGATTTCACTCAAAACCCCCAAATGTCAAACCAGCTTCACAGTGAGACTGTACTAAACAGAAGCTACCTTTAGTGACTTTTGTCTGCCTCCCCTGCAATGAAGGGTGAACTTTACTGTCCTGGATTCTCTGTGAATGGATTACTATGTGAAGGATTCAGGATGCAGTTGGAATGTGGAGCATTGAGTCTGTCTGTTTATTAAAGTGTGACTAATGGAAAAGGAAATTCCAACAGCTAAAGCACCTTTCCCACCAGTTCTGATGTTACTAACTGTGAAGATGTATAGCTCCGTCTGATACTAAACATGGAAATTTACAATGACCCAAAATAGAAACACACATGTTGCAGCGTATTAATTTATGTATCTACACTCGTATGATTTATTTATTCACACTCTGGCGGTGGGGGCTTCAAAGTGACTGTAATTTAGATCAAAGACATTTCCAGAGAGAAGTGGAAATAGTATGATGAAAATTCAGAACAATAACTGCAGTGACTGTTGCTGAGGCGTGGCAAACCTCGTAGTGGTTCAAGTGTCCGTGTTATTAGCAGGGTAAAAGAAAATCAAAGCTCATTTTCCACAAAGAAACAGACTTGATTCGATTAATTTGACATCGATGAGCTTGAAGCCAGTGTGGCGTTACATTCCCAGATCACAGCTACGTCCTGTGTACTTCAGCTCATAGATACAAGATTTTCATCTGAGGTATAGAAACCTTCTGCTCAGTTCGACTAAAGAACATCCGAACATCTGCTTCTGCACAGCTGCCTGCCAAACACTTAGAAGCGTATGTTGTGATATTTGTGTCAGAGGCCCAGTGGGAACACGAGAGCCAAGGAATGAAATTAATTGTACATTCAACACAAGAACAACAATCGAAGACATGTTTGTGGGAACAGTTCTGAACACGTGTTTTTTTTGTGTTTTGATGGTCCTGTTAGATATTTTAGCAGGCCCACCAAAAGAGTTTTCAAGCATATGAGTCATCTTTTAATTAAATATAACTATTAGTGGAAAAGGTGACTTGTAGTCCTTAAAAGACTCTCCAAGCGTTCCTTATAGTAGATGCATGTTTCTTGTCAACATTTGTCATTTTTACCATTTTTATAAAAAAGCAAATGTATATGGTGCCCAATGTTGCTTCAGCACTCTTTCACCTTTTAATTTATGAGTATTTTTATATTAAAGTCTCTCACTGACGATTATTTATTTGGACTTAAATGAAGTGAAAATGAATTTGCTGCAGCTTATTTTGCTCTCCTTCGCAATGATAGGTTTGTGACAATTGTATCACAAAGGAGTGAATGACTTCAGTACGACTTCTCACATAGATGTGCACATAGTAAGTGTGTGTATGTGTGTATTAAGTGCGCATATAACGTGTGGGAGACGAAGGGAAACATTGGGTTTACAAGCTTGTGTCAACTGGCTCTTCCTCCGGTGTGATTTCAATCTCACTCGTCATTGGATAAACATTGTATTACAACATTCTTAACTGCAGCTGTGAAAATGTACAGGCGTCATCACATCATCTGTTAGGATACTGCTTGTCACAGACCTGTTGTTAAAATTTAACTCAACAACCTTGTTTAAAAATTCTCTTCAAGTTAGATTTTTCCAATGAACAGTGCACTCAGATTTAACGTGTTTCCTGTCCTGACTTTCTGCCTGAACCAACATCAAAATGATAAATCAGATCCATTGTGCATGTTTCACTTCTAACAGTAAAAATTAACTTTTTGTATTTGCCCCCTTTCTTGCGGCAGCCCCAAACCTTCTGCTCTTCTTTTCATTCACCTTCTTTACTTTGTTTATCCATCTGTCCCTCTACTGCTTTAACATTCATTTGCCCTTTTTTACTTTAATGTCACTGTCTCCCCTTTGTTCCCCTTTGCGCTGAGCTGTATTCGTAGTCTCATTTACTGAGCTGGAACAGGCGTCTGGGTTCAGATGCATCCTGCAGTATCTGTCTACAGTTACAAATCATCCTGCTTTCCACCAAAGGCAGGCATTGCCCTTACCAGATGCCTTCAGTGCAGAGGAGTGTGCTATGTAATGCAGTCTCAGTAGGAAAAGGCCTTGAGGGGGGCCGGTAGTTAAATTGCAGGAGGATTGGGAGTTCCATTCCAGCTGTGATGAAGATAGAAGGCCCCTAAATTGGTTAGGGAGGCCTCAAGCGATATGGAAGTCAAGGATCAGCGCTGAGCTGATGGCCCAGTCAAGAAAAAGGAGGGCTTCTGCCCAGTAGGGTTGCAAAAGTCTGAGCATTAGGCACCAGCTCCTTCACTGCTCTGTTGCACTGGCCCGCTGTCGTGGCCTTGCCAGGTTTGTAATGACTGCCTTGCTGCTGAGGTGCTTGTGTCAGCAGTTTGAAATGGCTCTCGTTCTGCGTGCATGCCACCACTGTAAGCTTTCCTGCACTGACACCAGCAAATGAAAAATATATTGGATGAGGCCTGTTATACGGTCACAATCACTGCACCACAAGTGTGTTCCTGCAGCAATTTATCAGCAGCGTTACAGGAAACTACTTCAAGAGAACAAGTGTTGCAAGCTGTTGTGTGGGGTTTACAGGAAGCTGGTGTCATTCTGCACAACCATGAAGTGTTTGGTTGATATTTGTACAAAGATTTGAGCTCTTTCCATCCACATAAGTGTGTCTGGAGGTTGAAAAGTCATTATGGGATCCTGTTGGCCAAATTGATGTTGATGATTTCAAGTAAACTGTAAACAAAATTTAATATATTTTTGGCCACTTGTGGGCATGCAGCAACCTGTAAACACGGCACTGACATATTATCACCTTGTAAAGTTGATTGGTAACAGGTAATATAGGGTGGGTTTTCAAAACTTTTCAACTGAAAACAGCAGCCTGCTATGTCTGAAGGCTGGGGCTACCAGAATCAACAAAAATAAGTTCCTTGTTGCTACTTAAAGATGCATTAATCAATGCTTTTATATTAAACAGTTCATTGCACTGAACATTGTTTTCTCTTTTCCTTTAAGGATGGATAGAAAACATCATTAGCACCCCTTGTGGTGTGGAGGAATGAGGGCCTCTGGATGAAGGCCATGGAGCTGAAAGTGTGGGTGGACGGAGTGCAACGCATCGTGTGTGGGGTCACAGAGTTCACTACATGCCAGGAAGTGGTCATAGCTTTGGCACAAGCCATTGGTAAGCTCAAAACTACTTACTACAATATGAGAAACAGTGTGCGCTCTCTCATGTCCACAGGTGGTAGATGCTTGAAAAAGATCTAATATCGGACGAATATGAGCAGTAAATGTGAATGATTATTGGTTATGTGATGGGGAATTCACAGCCCAATATGAGTACACAAAATGCTCTTGGACGATCCAAATGGCCAACCAATAACCTGATCAAAGAGCACCACAGAGAGGACTAGATTTAACACTGAGATGAAATCCTCTCCATCTGGCTCCGGTGCTGAAGAACTTAAACTAATGTGGTGTAAATGATATTTTGTCCACAGAAAATCCCCAGAGGGATTTATGTTGATGTGGGTTGGGTCCAATATTGGCCAAGCAGGTTGTCAGAACTACTGGAAATGATAAATTGCAGTTAAATGAAAAGTGACTAGAGGGCACAAAGAGATTTCCACCATAAATGGGCTGTACGAAACAAGATGAGTCATGCTGCAGACTTTGGTTTATTGGCGTGCTGTACTCTGTCTCTGTTAGTCATTGGATGGATTGAGTTGTACATATAGCTTGGTGAATCCAAGACCATAAGAATGATGAATTCTTTACTGTATTTATAATGGACAGATTTCTACAAGGATTTCTCACTTACCTTCATAGATAGATTTTTCTCAGAGTTAAAACATGTGTTTTTTTACAGTGACAGTGTAGCAGGAGTTATGGCCTTCACTGTCCTTTGTGTCCCATGTGCCTTTTGTCCAGGCCAGGGCACTTTGATGTGAATGGCTGTAGTGATGAATGTGCCTCTTTTACAAGGACCCTTACTGTGTAAGAAGAGGGTGAGGGAAGGAGGGCACTGTTTTACTCTTATCTATATGTGTACAGACAAGAATTCAGGGCCGCACACACATAGAGCCGTGAGCCATTCAGTGTGGTCCTTTTCCCAACACAATCACTGTTTGTTGAGTTGAATCTTCCCACTGTAAAGTTCTTTCACTGAACATGCTGGTCAAGTTCTTTGGAAGTACCGATGCTCCACAAGCGTGGGAGAGTTGTGAAAGGATTCAGTGAATCCGTTCTGCTTTTCCTCTCTCAATTGCAAAACACTTTGAACTTGCTTAAATAAATATCTTACCACCAGGAGTTAACACCATGACAACATACACAAATAGAATGAAATCAGACAGTATCATTGAATAGATTAATTAGCTATTAAATGATGCAAGTTACTTTACAGGCCATAAATCTGGGTGTCAACAGCGTTACAATGAAAGTGAATTGTGTTGTTTGTGACAAGGGGGCCAAGAAAAGATTCTTGGGGAACACCACAGGTCATAGGGACCTCCCAAGGAGAGAGCAATACCAACTACAACCTGATTTTATTAGATATATTTATGGACCCATAAAACACACCAATCCAATTGATAACATGTTGAAGTTAGGACAGTTATTTCCAGCATGGTCCGAAGATGTTAAGACAGACATAAAACATGTAACATAAAACTGAACAGTAAAATATTAAGGCCAGACTACACCACAACATATCAGTCCACCTAAATACAACAAAGATCGATCAGGTTAAAGTAAGGTGCCATTAGCTACCTACTCAGTCCATAAAACATTTTCATAGATATTTACATTTAGACAAGTGACCAATTTAGAATAGAGCAGTTTATATTACGGTGGGTTGAAAATATATCTAACCGTTGTAAAATCCAAAGAATCATGACTGTGTGTCTTGAAGAGGATAAACTGCTGCTTGTGAAGGGCATGAGGAGAATGAAAATCGTAGAACATAAAATACTAGGACCAACTGTCTCCTCAACCCCCATGCAGGACTTAATAAAGGGATGATACAAAGGACAGAGTGGGAGTTTTAGGTGGTTAACAGTGTCCTCTAAAGTGCACTTCACAAGTTGGCGAGGCAAGATAGTGTACAGGAAGGAATCTGGACTGGATCTGGAGAACATTATGTGCTTTAACTGTAAAGGACCAGTGTTAATGCCCCCCAATTAAGTAGCAATCAATGTAAAATTTTGTGGAAAAGTAAAACATCCTTGGTTATTATTTATTAAGGGTTTAACTGACAGAAACTCAACTTATCTGCTTCACCAGGACTGTTTGGGTGTGGTATGATCAGATTGATAGACATCATCACACTTTGTTTCAAATGTTGCTACATCCTGATTAGTGCATGGATGTACATGACATCACCTGTTTCCAACTGAGCCCACTTCAAAACAGATTTCTTGACCCTAAAAACATATTTGCCCTGTTCATATATGACATAATTTTTTTTATTGTCTTAGGACGCACCGGTAGGTACACTTTGATTGAGAAATGGCGTGATACGGAACGTCACCTGGCTCCACAAGAGAACCCTGTGGTGTCCCTCAACAAGTGGGGTCAGTATGCCAGCGACGTCCAGCTCATCCTCCAACGGACCGGCCCGTCCATTAGCGAGCGGCCCACCTCTGACGGGCAGGCTCGCGTCCCAGAGCGTGGGTTCTACCGCCAGAGCCTGCCGCCTCTGGCCAAGCTCCGCCCGTCAGGGGCAGACCGCTCGCTCAAACGAAGGGAACCGAAACGCAAGTCCCTGACCTTCACTGGAGGGGCCAAGGGTCTGCGGGATATATTTGGGAAAAGCAAAGACACAGAAGGTAGTGCGTTTAAGTATATTCCAGCGTACTTTCTAGTAATATAGTTTTGCTATAAATTGTGAACATATTGTGAAAAGTCTTGGTTTTACTGTCCTCACGCTCTTCCCTTCCCTCCCTCCATCTATGCATTTACTTGTCAACAATCCAATCGCCATCCTTTGATCTCCCACTCACCCATGCATCCATCCAGCCAAACAGCCTCAGCAACGTGGTGTGAGCCTGAACCTGCGTAGGGTTGGAGGTGTTGGACCATCATCTGTACCTGGGAGTCCAGCCAGAGAGCTGAGCCGGCTGGTGCAGCTGCAGAGAGACAAACTCCAGGCCCTGGAGAGCCGTCTGCTGGGCTGCGAGGCCGAGCTGCGAGACTGGGAGGAGGCTGGCAGCGAGGCCAATGAAGTGAGTAAAACCACAGCTGGCAGTGCAGTTACTTACAGGAAAAGATGATCTGTGCAGATCCATAACACCTGCACTCTAATCCCTCATGTCTTCAAATCTATTAAGGTTTATGCTTATATTCTCTGTGGCGCAAGAAATCTCACAAGTTGAGCTTTTCTCTTACAAGGGAGGAAACCTGGAGGAGGAGCTGCTTCTTTTAGAGCAGCAGGTGAGGAGGAACGATGCAGAGATGGAGGAGGAGGAATTCTGGCAGAACGAGCTGCAGATTGAGCAGGAGAGCGAGCGGCAACTGCGACAACAGCTAGCTGAGCTGCAGGGTGGTGTACGCGACTGCGAGGCAAAGCTTTCAGAGTACTTAGCACACATACAGGTAAGACTGGCACCATAAAGAAGCTACCTGTTTCCACTGGATGCTCTTTTACTGGATTTATAAACAGCATGAAGACTTATGGTAATTTTCTTGTACAATGTCAGTGTGGATCTGCACCCACAAATAAAAACAAGCTGAGTAGGAAATTGTGAAAATGAAAAAAAGATTTTCTATAGAAAAAATACAATTCCCAACTGTGAGGATTATTTTTATGTCAGTTTTTCCATATTATTAATTATCTGTCACGTCGCATAGAGCATGGAGGCAGGCCTGGAGCAGGAGCGGCTGCAGCAGGAGGCCGAACTCAACCAGAAGGTCAATGAGGAGGAGGTACAATCCAGTCTTAACAGCATGCAGACAGAGAGGACAGTAGTTTAATGAATTGCTGAGATCTCATTTAAGTTTCAGCAGCTGTAAAACACAATTTCTTTCATACACATTACACAAGCTCTGGAAGTCCAAAAACTAACTAATAAGGCAAAATGTTGCATTTAAAATCTTTTAAATTTACTTTTGGATTAAAAACAAGTCAGTGTCAGCTGTACTTTGTGTTTAGTGCTAATTAACAAATGTTAGCAAGCTAAAAACAGATGGTGGACGTGGTAAACACAACTTGCTAAACATCAGCATGTTAACATTGTCACTGTAAGCATTTTAGCATATTGACTTTTGCATTTAGGCCAAAGAACCAGCCTTTTAGAGACTCTGTTGACTCATACACGTAGTTTTGGTTGTTAGCGTTCCATCTCTCCAGTTACAGCATAAAAAGTAATTGCAGCTTCCTGAATCCCATCTAAATCTTCTTTAATAAGGAGGTAATAGATCTTCTAAATGTATAGCTACAAAGTGGTCTTAAACATGACCAAATTTTGAAATATTGCTTCTTAAGACGAACTCATAACACTATATTATTTCTCACAGCAAAGGAGCCCACATTCCGAAGTTCTAAGCACATATAAAGCATGACAGTCCTCCTACATCTTTATTATGAGGATTAGTTTCTCTTGCCCATCTCTCCCGACAGGTTGTGATGAACGTTGGCTTTCTCTCCTCACATCCACTTCCATTTCAGGTGCAAGCACAGCTGGAGAAGGTGAGGGCTGAGCTGGAAATGCAGAGCCAGCACACAGCTCGGCTGGAGAGCAGCTGCAGGGCTTTGGAACGCTCACTTGGCCAGTCCAGCAAGAGATTACAGGTCAGCTCAGACCTCAATGTTTAGTATCTTGATTTTCTAACACCATAGCCTCAAAATTGTCAGGAATTTAAAGCAACCATGGCAGTTCCCAATATGTGTGGAGGATGCTGAAGGAGTTTAACTTTAGGTTGTTTGGAAAATGCTCATTATATTCAAAAGTTGGCTATATTTGGCGCTCTGCACACAGGTGGAACCATAAAAAATCTAAGCTCATTAAGTTGTGGGCAGTGAAGCAAAATTTAATCTCTGGCTCGCAGGGATGTGCAGCGGATCCTTGGCTGCGTGCATCCTGGTGAGCAGAGTATAGGCGAGGTCCAGTAGGGTGTGGGAAGCATGAGGTAATGAGAAGGGGAAGGGAGGGAGGGTATTACAGCATTCTTTGCCTGATTAGAGAGGGGCCTGAATAAGTACACAATCCCTCGCCTGCAGTTGCGTAACCATCTGGGAGCTAACTCTTCTCTTTAACCGTCTCATCTGGGTTATGACTTCTGGAGGTATCCTGAGCAGTATGATCCCTTTATTGTTTTTTATTACATCCACCTCAGTGAAGTTTAGTGAAGGTAGAAAAAAAGATCTAAATTAGGTACAGCAGCGGAATTCATGTATCAGCATGTTCCTCTACCCGACTGTACAAGACCAGTTTCTTAGTATTTTAAAGCTAGCCCTAATTTTTCATAATGCACAATGTGTATTATTCTCCTTTCACTGAGGCTTATAGACTTTATTTATTATTATTATTATTATTATTTATTTTTTTCCATCACAGGAGAAGGAGCAGGAGCTTGAGCAGCTGACAAAAGAGCTACGACAGGTGAACCTGCAGCAGTTCATTCAGCAGACTGGTACCAAGGTCACCGTGCTGCCTGCTCTGCCTACAGGAGAAAACAACAACGGCACGTATACACACACTCACATGCACATAGACATGCATACACCTCAACAGAGACTCAATAACTTGCCACATTACCGTCACCTTGTTGAAAGGTTTATTTCATAGCAAACCACATTTATACTGAGGTGTTTTACATACAGCATTGTCACATGTGTATGTACACAGTGCCACCTTGTGTTCATCTTGAGAATGTCAGCTTAGACTGTTGTGCCATAACAGCTTATATCTGTAACCCCATTTCATGGACCAAATCACTAGCAGCACTGAAAATGCTGCAAGACTTTCGCAGTAAGTCAAAAAGAAAATCCTTATTTTCATTCTCAAAAGAGAAATCCCCCAGAAGGTTTTGGGCACATACGTATCTTTCTCAGTTCTCTCCTAGTTCACTTGCATTCACTACAGTAGCAGCTGTTTATATAAAATATTTTTACAAAACTACTGAAATGATTTACAATAAGCTCAGCAGCTGGTACATCGCAGAGCAGCAGTTGTGTCCCTTGTCCTTGATGGCTGGCTGCTTTTTTGTGTTCTGTTGCTTGCTACAGAAGTGGAGTCTGGCTCTCTGAAACGACTTGGCTCTTCTCGTCTCTTACCCAGTGACCTTCGCACTCTTCAAAGCACCGTGTCCTCCAGCCTCAACCCTGAAGGCATCTATGTCTGACCCCAAACTGTCCAGGAGACATTATTTTGGCAGCAGGGTAGCCACATGTTACGAGGACTGTCTCGATGACTGGAAGGCTCAAGAACTGACTCCCTGAACTGCTGGAAAGCAGGGCACTGAAATAAACCCAGCTCTAGGAACAGCCTAAGTGTGGAGGATGTTGGCAAAAACATTACATGGAGGATGAGTGGGGTATCACAAGCATCTTTTCTGCACTGCCTCCTCTTCCATCTTACTAAGACTGAGACTAAAACTGATGTCAATATCCATTTACAAACATTTAATCCACTGTCTGGGTGAGTGAAGATTTATTTTTAGTCCCTCTCAGTCCACAAAAGCTACATTTTCTCAGAAAAAATCAAAAACAAACTACAAGCCAGTAGATGTATTTTTGTTGACTGAGGAGGCTTTCGGCCAAACAGTGCAGAGAAACTTCATTTTTATGTTTTAAATCATGAACTGGAGAGAATTTCAGGATGCAAACAGACACATGTAAACATAATCCATGCACGAGCATGCACAAACACACCTGTGCTATAACCATAGCCATATCTGATTGCCTTACTCTGGTGTTTTAAAACCAGACGTCAATAATCTAATGTTAAAACAGAACTCAAGGTAGCTACTGATCTATGCGTCATATAAATAAGAATGCTTAGCACCAATTCAGGTGATACCTAGTCATGGTAACTGATGTCAGTATAACTCAACATTGGCTCCTTTTCTTTGATATGTGTTAATGTTTGTATTGATTTTAACTGGAAATAAATTAGCTTTCTTATTTCCTGTGTTTGGCAAAAACGAAAAAACCTTTGCCCATCATTTAAATGAAATGATATAAAAGAAATTTAGGAGAAAATAGACGGAGGAACATCACCAACTACTGGACATTTTCAGTGAAATAGTTTGGCTTTATTTTCAGTTTTGGTGCACACTTGGTGCAGAGCCATTAATCTCCTCTTTGTTTCAGTTGAACACTTCCTCCAAAAGCTCTGAAGTGTGTGAGTGGAGCGACGAGCGATGACAGAGGCCTTTGAGCCCACAGAGTAAATCCGGCCCTGGAAATGTTGCCAACAATGACTGTGTGCCCTGTCTGACCACCAGGTGGCGACAAAACATATATTATTCAGACAGGTGAAAGTTAACTGTGTTAAAGTTACTCCAGGTCTGATTTTATCTGCCTTGGTTTATTTTTAATAGGTCAAATATGATTTTGAATATTGTTTTGCAACAAAGCCTCAGCACTTGAGCTTTCAGTGTATAATCTAAAGTTCCACCTATATTGCTGGCCAAGTGTTTACCACGTTTCACTGTGTTCATCAAGCAGGGACAAACACACACACTTCTAAAAAAAAAAAAAAAAAGCATCACACCAACATACTGTAGTCTTCTGTCTGATTTTTTTAACATTTTAATTAACTAAAGATGTCTCATATGAACCAAAGCTTGTGTGTAAAACAATAGTTGCAGTAGATGAATGTACTTTTTATATGGATGCAACTTACGCCTGTGAAGTGTACCAACTTGAATCAAAGAGTAGTTGCATTTATTTTTAATGATTTCACTGTCATTTGGATAGTTGAGCTCTGTCACACAGGAATAAGAGAGAAGACATAAAGTTTGACAGGAAATAAAGGGATTTGAAATTTGACAACACATTTGTTTCTCTACAGGCTACAATACAAACCATATGTAATATATATTGGGTTTCTGGAATGAAAATTCCAATTAGTGTTTGATCTTCAAAACATTTAAAAGTTTGTGGTTGTATATCAAACCTGTGAAAAACAAATGAGATAAATAATATTTTTGGATGAATTATATCCACAGTACATGCACACAAATGCACACACACATTTAAGTTACAAATATACATTTTGGCCCTGCTTTGGGCTGTAAAAACGGGACTTCAGTTAATACTTGGGAACTTAATTTGGCTTAACTTGGAGTACTGAGTGTCACACACAGTTTTCTTTTCAGTCTGCATTCAAATGTTCTGCTGTTTCAGTCTTTGTGCAGCCTCACCTTGGATGTAACTTGTACACATTGCAGTGGTGGTAAGTACATTTGCTGAACAAATTTGAGGCATGTGTACTTTATTGGCAATATTGGCATATTTAGATTTTTCCTCAAGTAACATTTTGAATGCATAACTTTAAGTAAAAGTATCAATACCACCGTGTTAAAGTCCTCCTCCACTCAAAAATCAGTTTTTCTACTTGTTCTTAGAGTTAGATGTTTGATCTTCACTGTACAGAATGATGTATGTGCAGAGTTTGACACAAGAAGGATGTTTTCACATTGATCTACTGGAAAGTTTCTCTTTGCATATTGAAAACCTGATTTTAAGGGGGCAAGCTTGATTTATGAAATCACAGTTTGCAAGTCAATCCTGGTCCAGTATAATTTGTATACTAGACCAGGGTGGCTTCAAAACTTTGTGATTTTATAAATCAAGTGTGACGTTGACATTTTAAGCCATTGCTGAGACTTACAATGAGGTAGAAGGAGTAGGTGCCCTTTTAAGGATTTTAATGTGGAAATTATTTTTTGTAGAAAATAATCAGATTGTTGTTCCAAGCAGACTATTTGTATATATGTCATAATACATATCTGGAGGGGATCTTTAGGTAAAAAATCTGAGTACCTCTTCCACCACTGACACATTTTGTGTATACATTCTCATCTTTTTCTACATCTACAATTCTTTTTTTTTGCCAAACTTGAATTTCTTGTGCACAGTTTTTTTTTTTATCATATACAAACACAAGCTTTGAAATTATTTCTGAACATCAGGTCAACCGCTCAGTATCTTATTTACTCTCATCCGAGCCCATAACAAGAGTCTTTTGTTTGAATTCCTCCCTCCAGTGTGAAGCATCTTGCTTCGTTGTTTGCTCTGCAGTGCAAAAGACACCCGAATCACAACTTGGCAAACTATTCTCAGAAATTGTTCAGTGACAGAAGTTTTTCTCTCCCCCCTCAGTATGCAGTATTATCGTCATGGCAACAACTTCAGCTGTTACACGGAGACTGTAACCCGCTAATAAAGGAATAGCAGCTCTCCTTGACTGAAAGTTTTGAATAATGGCATGCCTTACTGGAAAAAACAAGTGTAAATAATGTCTACATATCACATCAGTCTATGGACTATTTTTAAAAGTAGATTGAAGTCTGAAATATGCAGAGTGCTAGAAAGGTTAGACTTTAATGCTGCCATTCAGTAGGCAGCTCTGTGTGCATGCAATAATGTGTGATTGGTTTATTTGGAATCCCAATTAGTGGCTACCGAGGATGCAACAATTCATCTGTGATTAATTTTATTTTTGGTTTGTTGTGTCCCTTCTTGCCTTGTTGACATTTACACTAATGAAGATTTGAGCTTTTGGTGAAGAGCAGGCAGACAGTTTAGTGTATACAAGCTTAAAAAAATGGGAAAACATGCATATTTTCTTGCCTTTTCATTTAATTCTGGCATAGGCAACATTTATGGATGTAAAAGAGATCAATGTTGCATTGAAACTTGACATTGAGTTTACCGACATAGCTGGTTGTATCTGCTTCCTGCTTTGAGCCTTTGCCAATAATTGTTTTTTGTTGTGCCATCAATTCTGCTTTTCAATGAAAGTGCATATAGAAATGAGAAGATGGAGCCATTATGAAAACAGCCATCAAGTGGTTTTGAAAGCTAGAAACGCTGCAGCTCAGGGATATTTCAAGACACAGAATTACCCAGACAAGAATGGGCAGAAAGTAATTATGGATAAATGCTGTTCATGATGTCTCGAGCCATTTGACAAGTTAAATCGTATATTTGCTCTCACGGGGGACTTGAGCAGCTGTTTGACAAGTTTAACATGTGGCTCCGAGATGCAACACGACAAATGCGACTGAAATAGTGATTTATCTGAGAGAGACAAAGCTTTATTTGAAAAGTAAAGTGTTTCTGTTGGCTCACGAGAGGCACAAACCGGGTCTAGTTATAGCAGTTGGGTTTGCAATGTAATCCTGTTCGTTGAAACACCCCTCAAAGAGTTTACATGAACGCTTCACTGTAAACATCCTGCTGGTTAGATGAACTGTGCTTGCCTAACATCACTGACTTGCACTAACTCAACATTTAGACAAATTGATGTATATTAAAAACATTTTTGTATTATTTACTTACAGATTCACCTACTGTATTTTTTAGCTTTCAGAACTGAACAGATTTTCTTCTTTACCATCATTCAGCAACTCTGTATGAAAGACATGAAAATCAAATTCAAAGAGAAATGTAAAATATATAAATAAATGAATAAAATATATTTAAAGAACATGCCGGAAATGAATAAACTGCTATACAGTGCTGAACTCTGTGGTTTTTTGTGTGATTGCATTTCATATTTCTCAGATAGGAAATGAATTAGAATAATCCTAACGCTAGCAAATTAAGGTAACGTTTGTTGCACAAGTTGATTAATAATGCTGTCTTCAGCTGACTTTTAGTGTTCCCATGCTGAATTGTTTCAACATTAGAATGTAAAGGGGTCTTAAATATGCAGTGCATGATATTGTTAAAAGACTGACGGAGGCTGAAGCTCCCAAGCAAATAATCTGCTTCCACATCTGAATCTGCCGTCCTACTGTTATCAAATAAGGAAAAATGTAAGATAACACTGTTATTCTAACCCTTTTTAGCTGCTTAGCTTACACAAGCAAGAAGTTAACTTTATGTTTTATTGTTTGTATTGTCAAACAGTTTCACTTTAAACATTGGAAGTCGAAATACTTTTAGGGTAACTTCCCCATATCCAATCGAGCAGGACAGAGCAGCTAACATTTGCCTCTACCAGTAGTTCTCAAACGTATTTAATTTTAGTGAAATAAAGGTCAGCACAACAGCATCAGCAAACTGAAACCTCACTGGCATTGGAAGTCTACTATTGAGTACTCTACGTGCTAAGCTAGTTAGCTTGACAGCTTATGACAAACACGCCGTTTAATCCATTCGTTACACTTTTGCTTTTGTATTTTTAGTTTTAGAGAGTTTAAAAAAAGAAAAAAGAAACTACCAACCAAACTCTTGGAGAAGTCCACATGTTGCTAAGATATGATTGGACAATGGCTCTACCATGCAGTCAACCTGGGGCTTATAGGGCCCCAGAGCAATTGCCCACTTTACCCCAGGTGGTACTCCAGCCTCCACTAGAGAGGAAATGGGAGAGGATGGAGAGAGAGGGAGAGAGATGTTGGCTGACAGTCTTCCAGTCGTCCATCCCCAAAATCTACTTGCCAATACTTGCCACCATTTCAAGCACTGGTAATATCAGGAAATGTTAGTGACACTCATTTTACAACAAAAGGTAGACATATTTTTTTGGGGTACTACTTATGAAAAATTACTACTCACACTCACAAAAAGCTACTGCTGCATCCTGAATGAGCCGGAGACGCGAGGGTCACTTTTTGCAGTTGTCTAAACGAGATGAGATAAAAGCACGGCTGACCTTTCTCCAAATCTGTGAAGGATAAAAACAACTTAATTTTTAATATCTCTCTGAATTGCAGGGAAGTGGAGTCACAGCAGCCTCTTTACCTGCACTTCAAGTCAAGTAACTGTCAGAATCACTGAGCTCTTTTGCCAGCTGGCTTTGTGCTTGAAGATAGACAGATTTCAAGATCGACTGGAATAAAAGTTTCTCCAAATAAGACCCAATTCCAGATTTATTTTCAACTTTAGAGGGACACTTTTGATACTTTACAGAGTTGGAGAACTTTGGTTATCACACCAGGTGTTTTTGTGGGAAAAGTCATTTGTCCCTCAGTCTCTCCCCAGTGAATTACTGCTTTAATGCTTTAAATGGAGCTCAACAGCTGGGTCAGAGGGGCTCTTATTGCATCTGTGACCCTCTCACACCAGACGATACTTGAAGATTTGTAGCCTTAAATGCTGTTAAGTTCATCCAATCTGGTTTTTTTTAATCATCATTGTCTCCTCTTGTTTATAAGGTGCCATCATTACATTTAATAGTTTGCTATTTTTAGCAGGCATCACTTTTGGTGATGTATTATACAGCATCTCATTAGGGAGTAAAACTCCAAAGTAAGTGACAGCAGCTCTCAGCATGCTGGCACCAGCCAAGCCTCCAGCCATTAAACCACAACAGTATTATTCAGTATAAAATGTTATTTTTTTAAATCAGTGCAGTGGAGTGTTTTAAATGCAGGCTTATGGAGGAAATAGGATTGGGTGTAAAAACTTTAGATTACAGCTTGCAAATTACTGCTGTAAATATTTTGTATTGAAAAACTAACCGGAAATTACACACTGAGAGCATATAATGTGTGCCTTATTTTAACTTACACTATATAAAGAGAACTTTGTCACACTTTTTTAATGCTTTATCCCGTCATTACCTAATTTCTGCAGTAATGTGTATCTGAACCTCACCATCATTAAAAGGCAGTGCAGTGTGCTGTGTTTAAGGCACCTCCGTTTCTGTATAAATAAATGTTGTGCTCGGTTTAGTCTGGGCTGAACATGGATGTTAATTTAAGCCTGAAATTGATATGTGTTGTTCAGAATTTGCAGAACAAGCTTTATATATTTTGTATGTATGTCATACTTTTAAAATAATTGATACCACAACTAATTTCATTACAATATCAACACTATTACCACATTTTCTACACTTAATAATGTAATGATGTGGTACAGTGAGTATTCTATTGATACCCCATATGTACAATATAAATAATGTAAGTTTTGAGCTGTAATCTTAAGTGTTCTGAATTAAAGCTAAAAAAATAAAAAATAGGGGAAATACAGCACCTTGTCACTGCCTGACCGAAACATGTCAGAGGAAGAGTCAGATTAGATTCTTTCTTAGCTGCTTTACTACTAAAATGTTTGTTAGATGAGAATTTATCCCTGAATCATACAAAAAATCCATTTCCCTTTTAAGCTATATCGCCTTCTTTCTCTATCCTGAGCTCTGCTGATTCAATCACGCAGCCGTCCCAGTGCTTGCAATAACATCAAAGTAGTTTGATTTTATCAGAAGAAAATCTGTACGATGCCGTATTGTGACAAGCCTTTTGTGAGAAACCGGCGGGATGGAGATCACAGATTTTCTGTGAGTTATCTGAAAGTTTTCTAAAAGGCACAGTGTGATAGGGATGAGTAATGGTCTGACACTTACGAAGCCTAATTAGTTAACCTCAATTTGTGAATTATGATGCAAATATTGCACCTTAGATGGATTAAACAATTGTGTTTAGAATGAATTATAGTTGTGCCGGAAGATTGATTAGGCTACATTTGTGTGTGCTCTGGTGTGTGTGTGTATGTGTGGATATTTGCACAAGCCATGGCTGATGCTGTCATTAAATAGCCCCTTGGCCCCTCTCCTGAATTTGTTTATTCTGCACTGGGCATGGGAGTAGGTGGCAAACAGATGGGCATCCATGAATTATGGAAATTATGGGCTTTGATTAACCACCACACACTCTGCTGGATAAAAGTAACTCCAGGGTTGCCAAGTTATGTGGTGCACTGGGCTGTGCCGCCAGTCAGTCAGCAGCGGGATGGACCTGATGCTTGATTGATGTTGTTTACTGCTCAATCTTAAAAAACGCAGGACAAAACTGGTGTCATTTTTTTCCCATGTATTTACAGTTTCCCCAAATTTTAGATTTACTGGTTATTCCTGTCTCACTTTTTGGTAAAATGTATTTATATTAAAGGGATCGACACCACTCTTGTGTGGTAAATTAGCTGCTGCTGGTTAGCTTAGCTTAGCATAAGGACTCTAAAACTCACTAATTAACACATTATATCTGGTTTGTTTAATCCATCAAGTTTTGGTTTTACAGTTGGTTGTGTGTGATTTTGTGACTTGCAAAGTGAGCTACATTTTTCTTTTGTTAATTTGCTCTTTTTTAAAAATAGACTAAGAATTTAACCAAATCAATTACTAGTAGATCACAAATAGTTTAAAGTTTTGGGGAAAAATCTTATTGAGAGTTAGATGAGAAGACCTACTGCTATAATGTACTATAAAAGAATAATACGCTAGGAGTCCAGCTAGCACAAAACCTGGGCACAGGGGAAAACAGCTAGCCTGGCTCAGCAAAGTTAACAAAGTCATACATAACTTATTTGAAACCACAACCTTGTAACGCTACTAAACTTTACAACATTTGAACGGAGCTGTTTCCCCATTCTTTCTGGTCTCCAGTTGACATGAGAGTGGTATCAATTTTCTCATCAGTTTTCTCGACCAGAAGGCAAATGAGTTTTACCCAAAATGTCAAACTTCTTTGTGGCCGTTCCCTCCATTTTAAATCTATTGTTGGATCCTGTCTCACTTTTTGGTACAATTACACTGATAATGTTGATTATTAAATGGTCCCATATGTTCATTTGACAACAAGGATTTGGCTTCTTGTTTATAATTTGCTCCATAATCCATCCTTTAAGGATGAGTGTTTGAAAATCATGAACACATTCATTCAGTAGCATGCTGCAGGATAATTAATCATGTGTATCATAATCATTTAATTCTTCAGTTATTTTCATCAAAGTTCGATTTCTAAAGTGTTTAATCAAAGCTCTTTTTAAAAGTATTTGATTTGTTTCAAAGAAGCACCAATTATCTCAGTATTGGCCTTGCAACTAACAGCCCCCCTTAAGCATCTGATACCACCCCAACTCTCGCACACACACACAAACACACATACACACATACACTGTTAGCCCCCCCCACACACACACCAGTGTCCCCATCTCTTCACTTTCATAAATGAAGAGAGACAGCCTTATCCCGGAACCAACACGGAAAAGCAATTAAAAAGGAATTAAGGGTGTGCAGGGAGAAATTGGATATGATACCCGACGCCTATTGTAAATGTCAACGTTATTACTGTGTTGTTGTTTCCCATTCCTTTGGCCGCCTTGCCCGTTTTCAGGAGTGACAGCCCATAGTCTGCTGGGCTTAATGAAGCCGTCTCAGCAGCCAGGGTCTTGGTATGGAAGGTGAAGAGTGCTGCTTATCCTTTTCTGTATGCAGCTCTCATTAAGATCAGTTTTGCTGCTGAATAGTAACAACCCCCACTTCTCTTCTGTCTCTGTCCTCAAGCAAATGTCTGTTAAACTTATTTAACACTACTGCCCTAATGCTATGTGAATTGTTACTGTATAGGTTTATCTAATTGTGTTTTCAGCTCAGCACACTCCGAAGAGGCGCAGGGATTGCCTTTGGCATTAACTAATGGGGTCTTTGATAAAACCAAGTAAAGCAAACATCCATTAAACTGAATTTTTATCAATTATTTTGAGCTGTCGAAAAAAAAAAAAAAAAAACACATCC